GTGAGTAAAAAAGATCTTTTATTTCATTCAAACTGTAAGACTTTAACCAGAAGGCTATTACTATATATTGTGATTACAATGAGCCATCTGGCAAATATGACAATAAATTTCTCTAAATTATTCGACCAAACCATAAAATCATCAAAGATATATGTACACCTGTTTGATTGTTTGTAGTACACATGTACAACATTTTATTCTACAGTTGGATGAAATTGGGAGAACCAGTAAATTCATAGGGGAGCTAGGGTTGTCAAATCTATTACCTCAGCTCCACAAGGTCGGAGATAGCTTCTGCTGGGAGACTGATCATCGTCTGCAACTATAGCTGTCGATTGTTCCCTTGCAGGTCGGCCCAAATGAACACTCATGTCATCAGAAAATCCGCACAAACCTATATCTTTAGTTACTTCTGTGTCAAATGAGGTAGTGACACTTGAAGATGGCGTTCTCACTGGCGATGCCATAAAACCAAATTGCTCTGTGCAATCCTCTCCTACTACTTCACTGCATCCATACGCTTCATTAATTATCTTGCCAGTATCATCCTGCTGATCATCTGCTGACCTTGGAATTATAAGATCTGATAATGTTTCTTCCTGTCATGTACCATCTTTCATAGCTTCATCACATTCTTTTCCATTATACCACTCATCTTCTCCTAATTCTTTACTGCATCCATATATTTCATTCATTCTAATGCCACTATCACTCTGCTGATCAGCTGCTGAATTATGAGTCCTGAAGTCCAATAATGTTTCTTCGGGTAGTGTACTGGAATTCATATCTTCATCACATTCCCTTTCATGACGCCACTCATCTTCATTTTCCAAAAGGTCATCAGATAGTTTAGTACAGGAAGCAAGCTCATCCATGGAGCAGACTTTGACCTTCATCTGCTCCGGAAGGGGTGGACAACCAGCAGAATGTTTGGTGTACTGGGTTGAAAAGAAGTTTACAGTGATGTTCAAGCTGATGATACATAGAAACAATATCACTTTCCATCAATAACAGCAAAAGCATATGTATATTCATCCATTCACAACTCACAAGGAAGATAATAGGATGATACCTCTGCCAAGGAGGGAGAGTGAGCATGGTGTATGCAAGTTTGATCTTACTGACAAGCTCTCCCAGTTATTTAAAGCTTGCAGCAGCCTGCCTAACCACCTCCGATACAGTTGGGGTGCTGCCAGGCCCATTCAAACTGCAAAGTTCCAAAGGGAACATTAGAAAGAAGGTCCCAAATTTCCAATTAATAT